AGCTGGTTCCTGAAGTATAAAAAAACATGTACCCAGACCGGCCCATTTGTAATAGAATAACGCCTACGTATTGGGCTATTTTATTACCAAACAAGGCCTAAGCATTGGACTATTTACATTAATAAACAAAGGCCCAAACTCCACTATCAGACTCATGCCCATAGCCCACACCTCTCAATGCCTAATACCAAACAAGACCTAGAACCTTCCATCATCCCTACAACTTAATCAACAAGCAACAGTCGTCCTCTTCCCCCAAACTGTAAACCCAGTAGCTCCAAGGTTCTCAGAGACCCAAATGACAAGGCGTTTAATCCCAACTCTCAACTGCATCCTGATCAAGAAAATCATTCACCTTCTAAAACCACCACCGGCATTCTTCCCCCCGAGTCTTCCACCAAGGTAAATTCTATGACATAATCTTCTTCTTTGCATAAATGTAATTAGGGTTTAGGGTTTTATCTTGATTTGAATTTTAATGGTTGTGACTTGCGATTGGTCCAATTGGTGTAGCTAAACTCAGGGAAGGTGGTTGATGTGGGACAAGGAGCCAAAGACAAGGTCGGGAATCTGATGCCGTTGCAGACGTAGCCGTCGGTGACTCGGTGGTGTTGTAATGGTTGTAGCAGTCGAGCTACTTGTTATCAACTAGCAACGCCGTTGAGTTGTCACCAGGAGTGCCATCGAGTCGTCGAGAGTTAATCGGTCTCCATGAGCAGCCTCTTTGGTCTTCTTTGGTTACCTTCGCTACTGTAGGACCCATGGGTACCCGTGGGAACTGGTCCGTTTGAAAAAGGCTGGGGTAGGTCTGGCTCTCATTTTGAACAATCCAAAACCCGCTCTACCCCACCCCGTGTTATTTACAAATGGGTTAGGTCTGGTCCCTTCAATTTTGGGACCAACCCGACCAGTGCCCACCCCTAGAGTCTTGCATGTTTATATTTGACCTGAACATCACAGACATGTTACATGTTAGATATACGTTTTCACTTAAACATCACGAGAAACATATGTATTAGGAAAACCTAACCTTCAAAGCATGTATGTTGAAATTCATAAGTAATTGTTAATGTTGGCGACTAAACCCTGGCCTTTCCCATAATTATTTTATTCCAAAAACGTTTTTCTTGCTTTGCTAATGTTTTTCCCCAACTTTCAGATTAGTTTACTACAAATTTTAGTCTTTAAATTTCAGAATCTCAAATCTTTGCTAAAACCTATTTTAAATTATTAATTAAGGGTTAGTTTAATTACAATTATTTATTCAATCCTTGTGGAGAATAACCTTACATAAGCGATTATACTACAATTAGCTTGTACTCTTACAAGTATTTTAACCCATTTGCGCATGTATGATAGGAGCATATTTAGGCGACTTAGTTAGTTTGTTTTCGTACATTTATGTTGTTAGTTCATAGTTATTTTAGTAGTTTAAGCTATTTTCGTGTGTTTGTAGGTTCATATGGCTAAGGAAGCAAAAAGGTGCATTTTGGAGCAAAATTGGACTTGGAGTGGATAGCATATGTTTGGAGCAAAAGGAATGGACGAAATTGAAGACCTAAAGGTGTTAGGATTCCTAATCACAAGAGGAATCCTAGTCAAAGAAGGTTTCCTACTTGAAGTAGGAAAGTTAAGCCAAGGTTTCCTTAACCTTTCCTAATCCTAAAAGACCTCATGTTTCAGCAACATTGAAGACTCTTATGCATTTTAGGACACAAACCAAGCCTTCCTTGCAACCTAACAATCCTGACCGTGCACCCCATTGACTTTCCCTTCCTTGCAGTGCAAGGAAGGTCCTTGTTTCCTATTCTATGTCATAAAACCACATTCCTTTTCACCCCAATCTCAGCCGCACCTTACATACCTTTTCCATCTCAAATCCTTGCCTAATTTTAGCATTAAATCACATTCCCTTTTCATATAATTCATGCCGCAAGTTTCCTTCCCTTTCCCTTTGATTTCTGATTTATATCTCCTTTTCCTTATGGATTTGGGGTTGAATCCTTTCCTAAATTATGTAATAAACCTTAGGAGTCTTTCTCTCAAATAAATACCAAAGTCGCACCCCTCATTTAACCCTAATCACTCTCACACGCAATCTGCCATCATTCACAGAAACAAGCCCATTTGCCTGCAGCCTTCAACCTATCTTTCCACCATTCTCTTACTTCTATACCTTCACCCAAACATCCATAAACCATCCCCAACCTTTGCCGCACCACCCTACCAACCTAAATCCATTCACAACCCAGAAATTCATACAAAATCACCTAGACCTCTTGTGCCGCAACCTTGCAAGGAAGAAGAGAAGAAGAAGAAGCCTTGGACGTTTGTGCATTCAAGTTGGAGTGTTGGAACGTTTTTAGGTGTAATCTATCTTTTGTTTTCAATGTTTAATTCAATTTTCCTTTGTTTTGTTGTGAACATGAGAGGCTAAACTCGTTTTAGCTAGGGGAGGCTTTGAAACCATGATTATGTTTATGATATGAGTTGATTAATTCCAGTTGTGATTTCATAAATTGTGAATGCAATTTACTTAACCGTTTGATGGATAACTTATTCTTGTATGTTGATAAGGAGGCCTACTTAATTTGCATGCTTGAATTTGGTGCTAAAATATAAGGGAGTTTCACATAATCGTCACAAACTTATATTCACAAGTAGTTAAGGTTGTTTTCACAATCATATTAAGTAAATTCCTAGCATGAGTATCATGATGTCATAGTTACAAGTGCTTTGTCAATACTTATGATTTTCATTGAACGTAATGATCGTTGACTATATCTCTATTATGATGTCATGTAGGGAGCTTTTGAAGAATGCTTTGGGTTGTCGTATGATGTCATCCAATCCAATAACTTAAGGAAAATCTAAGGGTTAATTAGTGATGTCACGGTTAATCTGGGGTGTTGAGGTTCATGGTTTATCGAAAAAGTAACTGGAAATCAACTTGTGTTTGAATGTATCATGTGTGGAAAAGTATCCTCTAGCTATCTAATCGTCCATTGGTTTTCCCAAATTCGTCCATATCTCTTCTAAGTATTTTAGTTACTTGTTTTTACATTAATTTCATCCAAAACCCAATCCCCTTTATTTACTTGTTTCAAATTTGTCCTAAAGAGTGTTTTTGAGTAATTTGAGTCAAAACCAATTCTATTTTCGTCCAAATTAAGTCCTAGAGTCTAAATTGAGTCTTTTTGATTGTTTTGAGTTGTTTTGAGTCTTTTAAGTTTGTTTCAAGTCATATAAGTTTAGTTAAGAGTCTTCGAGTTTGTTTAAGTGTTTTTTAGCATATTTTTGTGTCTTCGATTCAGTTTTCACTAGATTAGCAATCCCTCCTAATCCCCGGCTTAGAACGATCCAGACTTATATCTATACTACAATTGTCAAAAAGAGGGTTTAATTTGAGTGCTATTATTTATCACATCAATGTACTAAAAGTCATATAATGTAGTACTACAATTTAAGATATTTCTCTACTTATAAGTAAGAGGTCTTAAATTCGACTCTTGTTAATGGCAAATTCGGTACCATACTATTATGGCCGCCAGTAATTTCACTTTATAAATATTCTCGTTCGGTACCATATGTTAAGATATTCTCATGTTTGTCGTAGTCACGTCAAACCCATTATTCTAATAGGATCTGTTGTCACACCTAATTATCTTAACAGGTTACCCGACTCGACTTGACCCATTTATACCCATTAAGAACAATATATGCTTTATTAGACCTTATCCCTGTTTTGTTTTGTTTTATCTTATTTTGCTAAATAAGGGCTCGTTTGGAAGTACTTTTGAAATAACTGAATCCGTTTTTTATGAGAGTGCATTTTGAACCCAATCCTTAGTAAAAGTGCAAGGAAATCCTGAAAAAGCACTTAAAATGCTTCATACAAGGTGCACTTTAAGTGCTTTTGGAATTCAAATACACTTTCACCAAAAGTGCTTTCTGTCATTTTAAAAGCACTTCCAAACAAGTAGTAAATCTCTTATCAAATAAAAAATTTCATACAAAATTACTAAATATTAACATTTGAATTCGTAAGTTTAGTTTTATTCAACAATAAGACTATAATAACTCCGTTAAGCACTACAAGTTTATATCTACGTGCATAGATGTTACTTTCAAAACAAACCTCAAGAAACTAATAGCCTTGGGACCAAGGAAAATCTATTAATCTAGGGTAATAATTTAACATTTATTTAATAAATGATTAATTTACCAAAGTATTCCTTATTTCTTATATATTGTATATTGTATTTAGTTTCTCGTTTTACGAACTAATAATCCTATACGTTTGTTTAACCAAGTAAACTTCATGAATCTACGGTAGGAAAAAAAGAAAAAACTTCATGAATCTACCTATTTTTCTAGAAATAGATTGTACATTGTTCAACATAATACATTATTTCATTTTATGAGCATTTAACCAAGCAAAAACTTTATTTAAATAATCAAAAGCTATAGTAACACACATCAGGTACAACATTGGCATTTGATCTCAAAGGTGTAAAGAAATCAGAAAATTATTATTTTATATATTACGTTGGATCTATAAGAATTTTATATAATATAGCGAATTATTAAATTAGCACATTATCTCCAAATCAAAACCTATCAAAAATATTATTTAACCGAGTCATTTATTTATCGGGTATTAAATTATCAAAGTTCTGCTGTATATTACTACAAAATATCAAATGTTTAATGGTGCAACACGTCCCTAATTTTCTCTTTAATTGTGTCCTCATAAATGTAAAATGACCAAAATCCTCCAAGAAGGGTAAATGTTGAATTTGCATTGACTTTCATTCTTGTGACACATATGAATTATTCTTTTAACATATTCTTGTAATGCTCGTAGATAGGAATGCATTAGCGCAAGGAGATCGGAATTTGAAGATAAAATAAATAGTGACTTTTAATTTAACAGGTTACTCGCGGCTAAGCCTGAATTAATCCGTTATTTAAGAAATGTTTAAGGGTTGACCAGACAACACACCCAACCACTTATTCTTTAATCTGAAACACATTATTTCCGTGTTGATTCGTGTTAGATTCACGGATCGTGTGTGAAATTGGCAAGTTAAGGCACCGTACACTTGAAACGACGAATGTGCCCCATCATGTAGAAGTATCACTTGCAGTACTTTAACAACTCTTTATGGAATTTTCAATTTTGTGCTGCATGGAAATGGTTTGGTGACTGATCCAACTGCTTGGCGCAACTCATGATATCTGGTGTTTGAATTTCATATTTGACAATCAAAAGGTATACATGTTGCTTCCTTTAATGGTCTTCTCTTTCTCTTCAGTACTCATCTTTTTAACTTCACTTTTGCTCTCAATAGGTGTTTGGAGCGGAGCTTCTTCTACGCAACAATGGAGGACGTGATCTTCACTGGGGTATACTACTAATACTATTATTGATTTGTGGTTACGAGCTTCTGAATTTGTAATCACAATTTAGCAGTATTCTCGTTGTAGTTGTTCCAATTAGATATTGGTGTGGCACGCCATGTGTTTGATGAAATGTCTCCGAGAAAATCTCGTACTGAAATCGAATTCAGAATGGATGAGAATAAAAAGTTCAAAACATAATAGAAACAAACAATCCAGTCATCAAACTTCACGGAAAATTAAAACATGGTTTAAGAATTCCAAAAATAAAACATCGAAATGGCAGGTATCTCTCTAGATACTTGCAGGGGCAACTACCAACTACCAAGTCAAATGCCTACTTGATGCTTTTGATGATAGAAGAAATAGCCTCCGCCTTTATATCCAACTTAGTTGAAGGGCTGCCCTTTATTTCGGCACTGCTAGTTTCTGAATTTGGGTAAGATGCTTCCAGTTTATGCCCAGCTAAATTTTCTAGATTCCAGATGAATTGTGAATGAACCAAGGGGCATTCAGAGCCGATCAACCTAGATGCAGAGTCCAAGCTTCTCATCCTATTAGTTTGATCTTCTATCCTCTGGTGCTCTGACATATGAGCATCCAGGTTTTCAGAAAATACAAATTCACAGGGGCATTTAGGACATATGTAGTGAGCATATTTGCTCTTGTTCAAATTCCTTTTTGTCCCTATTCCGTCAGGTAGGCTTGGATTGGAACCCACTTTTTTATCTTGCTGAGGAGCTAGGAGATTTACACTAGGATTGCTCCCTTTGTAGCTTCGTAGTTCAGACAAGTTTGATCTTTCCATATAAAGATGAGGTTCATTCCAAGTGAAGAAGGAGAAGTTTGAGTCAGGATAAGATACGCTTGCTGGTGTACGAGCAAATTCCTTATTGCCTCTAAACTCAATTGTATTGAGATTGATAGGATCTCTGAGCTGGTTATGAGATGAGGGATCATAAGAACAATACTGAGAAACCTCAGAAGCTGCAAAATGAACGAAGTCATTGAACGTTATTAAACATAGTCCCATGGATCTTGCTTTCTAAAAAATTAAAAAAAATATACATACACATAAAGTTAATTGATTTCCAAGTTTTTAAGGGGCTGTTTGTTGTACTTCTTGGATTCTAGTTTTTGTTTTGAAACTAATGAGCATTACTTTCATTCATCATATTTTAAAATTAGTGAGTAATGAGTATTAAGAAAATTGTGGATTAATCCAAATAGAATAGGTTGGGCTTGATAGTTTTCCTTAAAATCGGTATATTCCCTTAACACCTATATTAGAGTCAGTATTTAATTCACTTCAAAAACAAAATTGGTACTTAATCTGAATTTGCTTGGTTTTTATTTCATCTACAAAATATAATAATAATAAATAAATTATCTGACTGACAAAGAAGTTGAAAAGTGACATCTCTGAAAAATGCAATTTGACTGAAATTACCCAGAGAAAAAGATGGCTGCATAAACCAAAGAAGGCTATTCTCATTCTTTTGAAGGTGAATCGTTCGTGACCGATCTGCATTAACTTGAGTTCTTCTGGATGCTGCAACAAATTGACTCAGAGTAAGTTGGCTCATGCCTTGCATTGGCTGCTTTTCAGAGGGTGGACGGTCATTTGATCCTGAAGATCGAGAAGTAGTCACTGTTGTGGCAAAATGGACAGTGTGGTTTCTTTCCCTACAGTTTTCCGAGGGGTTTTCTGGAGGAGTGTCACTGCTGGTACATTGGAAATGCAAACCGAAGGGAATTGAAGCATAAACTGGTTTTTCCATGAAGAGAGAAGGACAAAAGGTAACTGCTATGAGGTAATTGCACTGAAAGATGAATGAATAACACGCGAAGTAATTATATCATTGGGAGTCTTTAGGTTGAGTTCAAATATCCAAGTCCAAATTCTAAAATGGAAAATTACCTTGAGCACATAAAATGAATCCGGCCATTTAACATATAACGTAATGAATTGAATACCTTTTCTCTACAAAGAAATTTATTTAATGTGCACAATTATATGGGAAGAAGTGTTTTGAAATGAGAAATATTTTCAAGGATCGGGGGTGTCAGCCTAAGTTTTTTTATTTTTTTTTTATTTTTTTCAATTGTGTACATATTAAAGTTTTCCAGAAAAATTGTACCTGGTTATTTATAATGAGCTCAAGAAGATTTGCTTTTGTGCAACTCCAATTGTCATACTCTGAATTTTACATCAGGAATGCGCTGCCAAGATCTGTGGTAGATAAGTAATGCACTATCAACTTCTGGACTCTTAACTACAAAGTTAACTTCAGGTAACGCTTTTGAATGAGGCTTTGGGCCGTTACTGATGGTATCCAATTCCAACCCACCCCATTGCCCATATAGATTCACTGCCCATGGTCATGATGATGATTGCTTGACAATGAATGAAAGAGCACTGCCCTCTCTGCACAAGGAGGGGAGAAATGTGATGCCCCGAATCTTGTATTCGGTGATGCACTGGAAAGACCTAGGATATTGTAAGGCTTAAGAATCCAGAAGTTGACTTTAGCTGGCAATTTTGGATGTGTCCTTGGATAGTTACATTGGAATTGATGGACCTGCTGCAGTTACACATTACATCTATTCTGAAGTCTAGAACTGTTATATAATGAAGAGTTTATCTCAGTTTTGCATGCTGATAATGTTGGAAATGAAAAAGCATGGTATATTTTATCCTAATTTCAGTATGCCTGCTGATCCTCGTTATGTTATACCTGCTTTATGCTTATTCTATCGAATGGGTGTTATAACTAATTCTTCTCTTACTACTAAGCCTTCAATATTTCAAATTTTCTTTGTGCAGGAGTCCCACTCTGACTCATTCAATAAACTCAATGTCGGTGACTGCAGAAGAGGTGAGGGTCATATCAGTGCTGCTGGTATCGTTTATGATAGTAATGACGGATGGACCGCAGTGTTTTGCAGGTAATCTTGGGATGGGAGAGGTACTAACTGCGAATGCTTAGGGTTTGTTTTATAGCCTCCATTTAGCCTGGAATAAGGTTATTAAGAAGCTGAAAAATGAAAGAGCTTCAGCTATATATAGAAGTTACTTTGATGCTGCAAAGTTTAGATGTATAAAAGAAATAATGTAAATATTGACTGTGAAGATACATCAAATAATTATTAAAGAAGCCAAACTGAATTTCACCTCAAAAATTTTCTGTAGTTCCTTCTAAAGATTGGTCAATAGATTGAGCTTGTTCGGAAGTGCTTTTAAAATGACTAGAAGCGTGTAACATCCCACATCGCCCAAGGAAGTGATCCTTAAATGTATATTCCCATCCCTACCTAGCACGAGGCCTTTTGGGAGCTCACTGGCTTCGGGTTCCATTGGAACTCCGAAGTTAAGCGAGTAGCGCGCGAGAGCACTCCCAGGATGGGTGACCCATCGGGAAGTTCTCGTGTGAGTTCTCAAAAACAAAACCGTGAGGGCGTGGCCGGGGCCCAAAGCGGACAATATCGTGCTACGGTGGTGGAGTGGGCCCGGGAAGTGGTTTCGCCCGGGCCGGGATGTGACAATTTGGTATCAAAGCCTAACCCTGGCCGCGTGTGTGCCGACGAGGACGTCGGGCCCCTAAGGGGGGTGGATTGTGACATCCCACATCGCCCAGGGAAGTGATCCTTAAATGTATATTCTCATCCCTACCTAGCACAAGGCCTTTTGGGAGCTCACTGGCTTCGGGTTCCATTGGAACTCCGAAGTTAAGCGAGTAGCGCGCGAGAGCACTCCCAAGATGGGTGACCCATCGGGAAGTTCTCGTGTGAGCTTCCAAAAGGCCTCGTGCTAGGTAGGGATGGGAATATACATTTAAGGATCACTTCCCTGGGCGATGTGGGATGTCACAATCCACCCCCCTTAGGGGCCCGACGTCCTCGTCGGCACACACGCGGTCAGGGTTAGGCTCTGATACCAAATTGTCACATCCCGGCCCGGGCGAAACCACTTCCCGGGCCCACTCCACCACCGTAGCACGATATTGTCCGCTTTGGGCCCCGGCCACGCCCTAACGGTTTTGTTTTTGGGAACTTACACGAGAACTTCCCGATGGGTCACCCATCCTGGGAGTGCTCTCGCGCGCTACTCGCTTAACTTCGGAGTTCCAATGGAACCCGAAGCCAGTGAGCTCCCAAAAGGCCTCGTGCTAGGTAGGGATGAGAATATACATTTAAGGATCACTTCCCTGGGCGATGTGGGATGTCACAATCCACCCCCCTTAGGGGCCCGACGTCCTCGTCGGCACACACGCAGTCAGGGTTAGGCTCTGATACCAAATTGTCACATCCCGGCCCGGGCCCACTCCACCACCGTAGCACGATATTGTCCGCTTTGGGCTCCGGCCACGCCCTCACGGTTTTGTTTTTGGGAACTCACACGAGAACTTCCCGATGGGTCACCCATCCTGGGAGTGCTCTCGCGCGCTACTCGCTTAACTTCGGAGTTCCAATGGAATCCGAAGCCAGTGAGCTCCCAAAAGGCCTCGTGCTAGGTAGGGATGAGAATATACATTTAAGGATCACTTCCCTGGGCGATGTGGATGTCACAATGCGTTTTTGGTGAAATTGATTTTGAGTTCCACAAGCACTTTAAGCGCTTTTTGGAAGAATCACCAGATATATGCTTTTTGCAAGAAGCACTTATAGTGCTTTTCGAGGATCCATTTGGATTTTTACAAAGGATTGGGTTCAAGAACATTTTCACTAGAAGCACTTTCAGTCATCTGAAAAGCACTTCCAAACGACTTTTCATTTACAAGCAAGTCTTTTTTTTTTTTTTTTTTCTTTTTTTTTTTTGATCTGTTTGATGTGTTGAAAAATTAGTTTCATTAATATGGTTCTACAGTTTACTTCATTATATAAATGACAATACTAACTTCTTTTTTTCTCCTTTGGCAGTTGAAGACAGAGCGCAGGAGCTTGAAGTAGAAAATATTTTTTTGCTACAACACTGGATGGTTCACCCTGGATACCTTGCCCTGTAACCCATACAGAGCAAGAGCCTTGGCCTGAATTGTACTAGCATTGTCTTGGTGAGTTGGTTAGATATCCTCTTCTCGGCTTTGCAGCTGGTTGATCTTCCTGACTTAAAGCTTAGTCTCCTTAGAAATGTTGGCTTTTTCAATATTTCAGAAGTTTGATCTTTCCTCTTTTTGTCTTCATCATCTGGTTTCCCAAACAACGCACTCAATAAAAGCCTTCTGATTTTCTGCCCCTTGGTTTGCTTTTTACAAGGCCCCCCACTTTCTTGAGCAATGGTATTCTTAGGCATCTCCATCTCCAATTTGGGGCGACTGTGTCTCTCAGAATGATCCAATTCCATTCTGATGAGTCTAACTTGTCTTGCAAACTCCAGTCCTCTGGGCAGAGCCAGCCTAGTTGGACTTTGTAGCAGACTTGGGGAGTTCACAGAAGGTGAGTGAATTGGTGTTTGCAGGCCAGTTTGTTTATTCTGTTGGTCATTCAGGTCAGATATGTCATGAGCCTCTGTCTCAGCTATCCCTCTCTTTTCCTCCTCCCTGACATGCTGCAGCGCCACCATGAACGGATCAAAATCATCATTCCACAACCTCCTATGCAAAACCCGCATTTTGATCCCTGAACTCGGTGACCTTGGGGTAGATGGGGTCGGGCTTTGGTTGGTATATCTTTTCTGACCAAGACGGGGTGGAAGTTTGAGTGGAGGTGCAAGCGGCATAACTTTTCCCTCGCAGAAAAGGTCATCAGCAAATGCCATGGTCTGCCTTTGTTCGTGCTCCTTGCGTTCAAACAAGTCTTTCACCTGCTGGCTAGTCACATTATCAACCGAACCAAGATTGAAACTGTTACTGGTGTCGAATTCAAAGTCTCCGAGTTTGGAATTGGCATCATGATATGGTGTCATGGGTGGTGTTGGGTAGTCGTCATAAGTTGATGATATGGTCCTTCTCCTAGGACTAGTTGGGACACTAAAGAAGAAGACGTTGTTGTTATTGGCAGAGCTGCAATATCTTCCAGGGGTAGCAGGTGCACTGACATGGGAGCAGAAATCATCTGGGATTTCCATTTCCGTTCAATTTCAGAGAGAGAGAGAGAGAGATTAATTTGGAATTGAGTGTAGAGATTTTCACTCCCGAATTGAAGGAAAGCCCGACTGACTGGGTTATATTTATAAACAAGGATTGATTTCCATCTTCCAAACTAATCTTCAAACATTCTTTTCTTGTTTTGAAAGGAGGACAACTGGCGGCGAACCACGGTTATCCACCTCTTTCAGGCCCGGAGAAGGCTTGTTGGAAATTTCCCCCTCAGTGGCTACTATCAAGCAGATTCATAGCTTACAAAGTATCAAACTCAGGACCTCCCGTTTTTTCTTTAGGGAGCTGATGTTCGCACTTATCCACTGGGCCACTTGTCATGGTTTTTAAACATTAATTTAGCAACAGAATTAATATCAAATAACATATTTATTCTTGGTTCTTATCTCTTCCTGTCGTCAATTAGGGGTCAAATAGGAGTCTTCTAAACAGAATTGTGAGCATAATTTTGTTTCTTTCTAATCAACCCTCCCTCATCCAAGTATTTGTCTTTTCTAATATTTACGAGTGTCTGTTTTATTTCAATTTTTTGGGTTGAAGTAGCTTTTGTTTTTCTTGAAGAAATATTTACTTGTTCTTAAATAATAATTATTATTGTGCGTAACAGTCAGAAAAGTGAATCAAGTGCCGCAACCTGGTATTCTATCCGGATCTTCTTTGTGAGGATTGCAAAATCACTTTATCGTGTCCATTCATTCATCATTCAGCTGTCAAAAATCATTTTAAATTTTTTTATTTAAAATTGAACTCATATAACACTTTACGAAAGCTGACTACACAATGTATAATAAATGGATACGATGAAGTGATCTTCATAATTCTCACAAAGAGAATCCAAAGAAGATCCTCATCCCAACCTTTGTACAATGATTTTATTTATAAGTCAAGTCACGGACTAGATTGTGGTTGAAATAAGCCCTTCTTAAGGTTCAAGATAATTAAAGAGGGAAAGCAAATGGATAGTACTTGGCAATATACATAGAGGTGACATCATTTTACCATCATTAGGCAAGACTTTGTGGGCCTTGAGACACCTTAATTTTCCTTAGTAAATTTTTCGCACCAGGTCCTAAAATACCTCGAAAGAAAACAAGTGCCTTAAAGAGATATTCCAATGAAATAATGGCACCAAATACAGTTAAATGAATAACATAAAAAACTATGACTTGGTTGAGTAATTCATGGTGTGGACTGCTACAAAAGTCCACCAAGCTTATGTGAAATTTAAGCTTGTGAAGGTTTTGGGCTGCTTGGGAGCAAGCCCACAACTTTAATCTCATGAGGTTTGGATCTAGTTAAACATGTCGGGTGAAGAAAAGCTTGTTTCACCAGCTTTGTGAGCATGGCACAAATTTAGCATGATTTTTTTTTCAAATGCTTGAGTTATGAATTATTATATATTTTAGCATGGCATGACTGTGGATTTGCATAGGTTCTTTTAATTGACCCTTCATCTTGCAATTTTCGCATTAGTGTGAGTTCAGTTTGCTACAAATTTGTGTTGGTTGGGCTTCCACACGCAGTTGGACTTTTAATGAATTATTTGTGCCCTAACATTGGCGTTGGTCTCATTGATTATTTGGGCCATGAAAGGCTAAATTGTGCCAAAATATCAAACCTAGCCCACAAAACTTAAACGTGACATTTGGTGGGACTTCTCCTTTTTTGCATGTGATGACGACAACATTATGATTGCTTTTTCTGGTTTCCTGTGCTTGTTCGCTCTCCCAAAATCCCAAAGAATCTTTTGGCACGTTTACTAATCCGTTTAAGAGAAATTAAATTGAGGAGGAATTGGAATGAGGTAGAATTAAAATCAGATTCCTATTGAAATTGTTTACTAAAACTGTATGGAATCGAA